CCAAGAAAGAATTTCTGATCCTGTTAAACTGCACTTCCCCCAGTATTTCTTTGACTTGCTCAATGTATGATGTTTTTGAGTGTTGGTCTATGACCTTAAAATTCTTCCTAGGCTCTTTCCCAAATTTGTAATGCAACTTCGGGAGTGCTATCAGGCGTAGAAGGCTGTGAATCCTCCATGTTGTTCCTAACACGCCACAAATAACAAGTAAAGAACAATTTTCGTCATCAAACTCAAGACTTCGGACACAAACATTGCAGAATATGTCAAATCTATGTTGTTTACCAGAGAGGTATTTATTTCATGATGACCTTCCTAAGCATCCCAAATTTTTTGGAATTTTTGTTTTCTCCTATGATGTAATCGAAATAATCAAAACAGCGAGTTAGAAATTTGTATCCCAGTTCGAGAAGCTGATTTAATTGAAACATCAAAACTGTGATGAATTTAAAATTAGCATACACAATGACCCAAAAAACTTTGATGCCTGTGGGTTTGGGAAGAGAGTTGTCGAGAAGAGAGAAACTGTTGGGGTTTTTCGTTTATCGTCGCGAAGAGAGAACCAGTTTTGGGTCAATCATCAAAAAAGGTGTAAAATTTGTGTGAATCCGCGCGAAGAGAGTCTTCGCCGTTCTCCACTGGTTTAAGAGCGTTCTCTGGGTTTTTCTGTTAATCGCCGAGAGAGAGAAGAAAGTTCGTGTTTTTGTGTGAGGAAGGGTTCCTAAATGTAAACACTTCGCTTAACGCGGGTATAAATAAATAAGATCTTACGGACTGACAACTATCCTTCACGTACTTAGCGGTTAAATAATTCATTGTCAATTGACGAGGTCAACGGTTCGATTCCACGTGACGTAACCTAATTTTTGACTTCATTTTTTGTTTGTGTTTTTAGGATTCCTTTCCGACAACAGCCTAACCGATTCCTAAATCATTTTATTAAATTAACTTGTTTCTTCATCCAACGTCCATAGATAATTAGTCTTTTACTAAACAGATAATGTCATAAGTTTTAGTTTTATCCGGGAAAAGAAAAAACATTAACCATGTTCAAAATGCAAACTAAAACTACTAACAACAGTCTCCTAGGTCCTACTTGTTGTTCACAAACTGCTCAAAGTTGTCGCATACATATTTGGTCTTCATGTCCGCAACACTCATATGAGCAACCTTTGAGAAGTCATGGCCCCCCAATGATCGACACTCGATCATCTTGACGACATACACGGGACAGTCAGTCACCCGGAAACCTATATTGAACAAGGAACACTCTTCTTCAGTGTGATGGACGACTTTGAATGGTTCCAGATGCCTCTTTGGCTTTTTTTTCTCAGCAATGCCGAGGAGGGTAGGTATCATATCTGCAACAGTTATGAATAAGTTTTCATTAACAGGTATCATGTTTTAAGAACACCTCGCCCAACTCTGACTAATGTTTTCCCGAATCATCTCACATATAGTTAAAAGGAAAAGTGTACCTGATATCTTCCTAACAATATCCAAGACTACTCCTTTCTTCTCCCATTGACTATTGCACGAGAAAATCTCCACTTGGCATCTCTTAAAATTAATTTCCACTCCAATCCAGTGGGGAACCATGGATTTAATGACTCCATAGACGACATCTACATCTTTTTTCCACTTCTTGTGTGGGAAAACTGTTCCCTTTACAATGTTTGTAACACTATCAGGGAATGGTAATTTGGTTCTATACCTCGCGAATTTGCCGTGGCATTGTAACAACTCATAAAAGAAGTATGTTTTGCAGAATGCAGCTCTAGGGAATTTGTTGTTATTGAAATATGCGCCATGTTCCTCTCTTTTCTTTTGCAACATCATCAACACTGCATTTATTTCCTGCAAGAACATGGAGTCAGAGTAACCAATAATGTTCTGCCGCCAATCCAAGAAAGAAGAATACAAGTATTCCATGACTACTTCCTTCTTACCGTATCACAAAAACGAGCTTCGGGATTCTCCATATTCTGGAACAAGGTTGCAGTAGCATCCATATCACTAATTCTGTGTTTTTATTAGATATCGTCAAGACATTTACGTTACAAAACAATTTTATAACAACAACTCGTTACGTTTTTGATATATCCTAACCTTGCTGTCTCTCCCTTCTCCAACCACTCTTTATAGGCTGTCAACTGATCCGTTTTCGGCGATTGAAATGGATCTACTGTAGCTGTACATTGTTCGGCCACCTGTGCGCTCTTCCCCTTAGACTTTTCTGACTTCTCCTCACCCTTCTTCTTCTTCTTATTAGCCAGATGATCATCTTCATTATAGGGCCTCTTCTCTGTCTTTTCTGCTTTTGCATCATACAAATGATGATATATCGCCGAGAGCATTTAGCAAAAGTTTAGGAAAACCTTTATAATAGTAGTAAAGAAACCAGAAATCTTACAGTTTTTAGCTCTTTTGTTTGGATCTCATTTTCATTCATCTGCAAAAGATCATATAGCAATTTTTTTAGGCATGAAATATTTTTTTACCAAGCGCAAAAAAAAAATGTTTTCTTTCTTACTCCATCGTTTCCATCATCATTTTTCTGATACGGTGTAAGCACTTATGACACTTCGGATTATCTGGAAACAATAGTTGTATACATATGTAAGAAGCAAACAGGAAGCATATTTCCTTACACCATACAAACGAAAAACAAAAACCGTAAAACTATACCTCGTCTGGAGAATCCTCCTTAAGTTCCTTCAACAAAAATCAAAAACAACTGGTTAGTTGTTTTTGGAAATAAGGTTTTCTACAATAATAAGAATGACGCAAAATGATATTAATACCTGATCATTTACGTTTGCCTGATCACGGATTTCTTCTGAAATGTTTTCAACTCTGGTGGGCAAAGCAGATGTCTTTGTGTTTTTCTGCAGTGTAATTACAAATTAGGTAAAATTTTTGGAAATGTTCTGGAGAATATAAGGTTTTGCCACAGTATGAATGATGTACCTGTATATCACATCCACAGGAGGATCCCACGCCTCATCCACCCATTCTCTATGAATCCTTACGTCACCAATTTGGAACTTAAGGTTTTTCTCGACATGATGAAGGTGGATACAAACTTCCGAACCATCGAGAAGCGCTTGAACATACCCTCTGCACCAGTGGTTATCGTGGTAGGCATCAACGTCTTGCGTGAGTGCCAAAACGTCGGTGGAACAATCTGCCTCAGGCAGAGGAGGCGGTGTAGGACGGATCCGTATCTCTTGGACATTCTCATACTTACCAAAGCTCAATAACTTCATATAATAGCTGCGGATTGGACCTAGACCTGGCTGTCTATTTATCAACAAAGCAGGAAATCACTTGTTATCTTCATCCGATACCTCGACTAAAGCACTTTCCGTCAAGTAAGGTTTCGGGCTCGTGCCTGTAATCCCCTTTGCAGGAGCAGCTTTACCAGCGACAAGACCGCAAACTATCTGGGAAACCAACATTTGTGTTAGAAACGCTTAACAAGAGGTTAAGGAAACCCTTCCTAAAATATGCTAAAGAAACTTGAAATCTAACATTTTGTTTCGTTCCCTCAATTTTGTCCATTTTTTTGGTCCGCTGCCTGTAACTGCTTCAGTGGAAGTTGCCACAGGCGGGGTTTGTACCTGGAACGCCAACATTTTATGTTAGGAACATTTAGCATAGATTCAGGAACGCATTCCAAAGACTTTTGATATCAAGGGAAACAAGAGAGAATCTAACAGTTTGTTTGTCCAGTGGTATGGACGCCTTATTCTTTCCCATCTGTGCCTGGGATACCCGCTGTGATTTGCGTCTCTCTTGATCCAGTGGTATGGACACCTTATCCTTCCCCATCTGTGTCTGGGGCACCCGCTATGATTTGCCTCTCCTTTCTGCCACATTTTGGTTCATCTGCAAAACAACATCCGATAACGTCAACACCACACATTTTTTCTCAAGTATAATTTTGGAAGAATTCCTAATTTAGTAGAAAGCTTTTATAAAACACAATCTGGATATCTAATTTTCGTGTACCTAGGTATAATCCAGTATCTTGTATGGCTAATAAATCCATACCTGATTTAGCGAATCATTCTGTCGCGAACCAGTGGCGTTTAACCTGTTGATACGTCCACAGGAGTAAGCTCCTCCAACGAAAAGTTAATAACAGCCTGTTGTTAGAATATTTATTAAAAAACAAGCTCTAATCATATATATTGTTTTTCAATACCTCATCAATTGAATCGGAAGGATCATGTATTCCCAGCTTTTGTTCAATATTTGATAATCGAGAACAGATATGTGTATGTCCATCTACGAACATCTCTATGAGCTTGTTAATCTTCGCCTCTACTGATTCGTCTGAAGAAGATGGTCTGGAGTTTTGTCTCGCTCTTTCTGAATGGGGATAGCAATATGACTGCGATGCAATGTATTGCAATGCATCATCTCTCTTCAAAACTCCTCTTCTCCAGTGATTATGCGTCAGCTCGAAACCTTTGTCCAACAGATGCAGATCTTCATCGTCTTTGTCTTGCAAAAACACGGTGTCTTTGAGGTCACCATATATTTTTGGAAGGATGTGCACCACACTCACCTGCAAAGTCAAAAAGACGTGTCATTCATCGATGTTTTGTTAGGAAAGCCTTCCTAAACACCATCCTAGATAATCAGAGTAGTAAAGGATGGCGCTTACATCGCTTTCTCTTTCTATGCTCAGAAAAGATTTGATGGGAGGAGATGTTGTGTGAAGGTATTTCACAAAAAAAAAAGCTGTGGGCGGGACTGCTTTGTCAATGGTAGAGGACTGAAGCTTGGGTACGGATTCCAAGATCCATAGGTGAAGCGCAAAAGGGACCCCGTCCAGAGGGTACTTGGACTTTTCTAGATTGTTCTTCACAGTCTTCTTCACTGATTTTAACAGCATTTTGTAAGCATTTATCCCCCAGTGATAATTCAGCAATACATCCATGTGTTGCGCTTTTTGTAGATTAGATGTTGGGAACATAGCCTTCGAATACCTATAAAGAAAAATTGTCTCTATGAGCAGCACCATAGCCAAAGAACCTCTCACCATGAGCATCTTCTGCGGCTTCGATCATGAGTTCTATCAGGTCGTCGGGTGAATGTCCATCCTCCAATTGAGACCAATCATAGTGGTTTGCCTCTTCCTCAACAGCAGGCAACCATTCAGTGCATTTCATCCCCGTGATCATATGGAATTCTCTTATAGAGAATCTCATAGGATGTCCACCAAAATGAAACCACAGCTCTTTGTCTTTCTTGGTTTCCAGGGTCTTGGTCAGAATTGTGTGGATCATCTTCCCTGACATAGATAGATTCCTCGAACAGAACTGCAAAACCAGACCCAAGAAAGAGTCCTCGATTCTCTTAAATTGCTCAGGCCCGAGTATCTCCTTCACCTTGGCGATGTACTTGAAGTCCGAGTACTTATCTATGGCCTTGAACCCACTCACTGGTTCCTTCCCCATCTTGTAATTGAGCGTAGGAAGTGTGATGTCCATTTTTAACTGCTACAAGAAAAGAGACGAAGAATATCACAATAGAAACGAAATGTGTCACAATATAAACAAAAAATGTCACAATTTGAATCTTAGGATGACCCTTCATAAGTTGAAATTGGAGGTTTCCTCTACACAAATCTATAAACAAACCCCACAATAGAATCTAAAGCCTATCCTAAATCACTCAAAAAGTGGTAAATCATGATCGAAAGAGATCGATTTTTGTGAGTCGTCGAGATGAGAGAAGTTTTTCGGGGCAGAAGTTTCTTACTGAATCTTTAGTTGTCGCGTTCTCTGTCGTCGATGTCTTCTTCGCCGATGCACCGCTGCTGAAAATCCGGGTTTTCACTGTAAATCGGCGTCGCCGCTGTAAATTAAGTTTTTATCTGGAAATCTTTTTTAAACATAAATATATAACTTCAAAATATTGGACAAGTACAACGATTCGGCCTCAGCGGTTAGTGCTTCTTCGATTAAACAAATGTGTCTCTAGTTCTACACAACCTTAGAGTCTAATTATACCTTTCTTGTTTTATGCTTTACTGTTTAGGAAGTCTTTCCGAAATGTTGCAATTGATTCCTAAATATCGAGGGAAGAAGGGACCCAAACATTATTCCTGGAATTTAGGATTACAATCCGAAACTTTTAAAATCACCAAAACAATTTTTGAATATTCATTTAGGAAGCCTATCAGAATTATTTTCTCTTTCCAAGTTTTAATAAGGAGGCCTTCCGAAATCATTTTCTTTTTCACAAGTTTCATCTAGGATGCCTTCCTAAACCATATTTTTTCGAATATTCATTTATGAAAGCTTCCTAAATCATTTACTTTTTCCTAAGTTCATTTAGGAAGGCTTCCTAAACCTTTTTCTTTTCTGAATATTCATTTAGGAAGGCTTTCTAAACCTTTTTCTTTTTCCCTAGTAACCATAAAATTACCTTGTCATGAAAATCAATTTGAAATGAATGAAAATACAAGGTCTGAAATAAGTACAACTAATTGATAAACAAAAAGCAACATTTTTAAAAACCAAAGTTACATACCATGTATTCAAATCCATGTTTGCAAACGAACACATCTAAAAACACCGTTACAACCATTAACCATTTTAACAAATGGCAACTAACACCACCAGCAGAATTCATTCTACTTTTTTGTTCCGAATATGCATATCACACATCCGTTTGTTTGAACCGTTTGCTCCTTCTTAGAGATGTTTTCTCTAGCTCTTCATTCTGCTCTTTCTTCGCTTTCTTTTTCTTCGCTTTCTCCTTCTTCTTCTTCTCCTCCATGGATTTCGCCTTCTCCACTTTCTTCTTCTCCAGGTTACCCTTTGATAAGAAGACATGCTTTCGTAAAAACGGTGCAATTGAAAGTTTTTCACCAGTTAAAAACCAAAAAAACTTGGTGAAAAATAGTTTTTAGGAAAGGAATTTTACCTTCGCAATGTCTTCTACTGTGGTGGGCGAAGCAGACGTCACTGCGTCTTCCTGCAACATTCAAATAACTTAGTTAAACTTTTTGTAATTATTTAAAGAATACAGGGGTTTATCACAGTATAAACGATGTACCTGGATAGCCACATTCACAGGAGGATCCCACGCCTCGTCCACCCATTGTGTAAAAATCCTTGTATCCCTAACGTCTATCAGTTGTGTTTTGTCGATATCATAAAGTTGGATAGAAACATTTGTACCTTCGGTAGGCGCTTTCACACACCCTCTGCACCGGTGCTCATTGTGGTAAACCTCAACGACTTGCCCAGCCTCTAAAACGTTGGCGGCATGTTCTTCCTGAAGAAGCTGAGGCGGTGTAGGACGGATCCGCATCTCTTGGACATTCTCATACTTATCAATGCTCAAGTACCTCAAATAATAGCTGCGGATAGGACCTAGACCAGGCTGTCTATTTATAACCAAATCAGGGAACCACATGTTATCTTCACCCGATACTTCAACTAAAGAACCTTCCGTCAAGTAAGTTTTAGGACTCTTGCCTCTAATTCCCTTTACAGGAGCAACGCTAGGAGTGACAAGTGCAGAAACCACCTGGATGTCCAACATTTTGTTTTAGGAATATTTAACAGATGTTCAGGAATACCATCCTAAAATATCAAAATGCAAAAGAGTCCTGATTTTCTAACTGTAGTTTCATCCTTTTTTTGGCTCCCATCATCATTGTCCATTTCTATTTGTCCCGCGCCTGCAGCAGTCTCTGTGGACAAAACCACGGGCGGGGTTTGTACCTGGAAGCACAATATTTTTTGGGTTAGGAACGTTTAACAGATGTTCAGGAAGACCTTACTAAAATATTAAAATGAAAAAGAATACTGATTTTCTTACTGTGGTTTCATCTTTTTCTTGGCTCCCATCATCATTGCCAGTTTCTGTTTGTCTCGCGCCTGCAACAGGCTCCGTGGACGTAACCACAGGCGGGGTTTGTATATGGAAGCCCAACATTTTTTGGGCTAGGAACGTCTAACAGGTGTTCAGGAAGACCTTACTAAAACACCAAAACGCAAAAGAATCCTGATTTTCTTACTGTAGTTCCATCCATTGCTTGGCTCTCATTATCATTGTCAGTCTCTGTTTATCCCGCGCATGCAACCGTCTCCGTGGACGCAACCACGGGCCGGGTTTGTACCTGGAAGCAAAATATTTTTTGGGTTAGGAACATCTAACAGATGTTCAGGAAGACCTTACTAAAACACCAAAACGCAAAAGAATCCTGATTTTCTTACTGTAGTTCCATCCATTGCTTGGCTCCCATCATCATTGGCCATCTCTGTGGGTTCATTGCCTCCGACCGTCTGCATGGATGTCGATATCACAGGCGGGGTTTGCACCCGGAAGTCCATCATGTTTTGTTAGGAACTTTTAACAAATGTTCAGAAAGATCTTACTAAAGTAATCAAATCCAAAAGAAACAAGAATAGCTAACAGTTTGTTGCTCCTCAATTGGTTAGGTCCTCTCATCCTTTTCCATCTGTGTGTGGGCTTCCTCCTGTTCTTTGCTACTCGTAGTTGTCTCATCATCGTTCATCTGCAAAACAATAGATGACAGTATATTAGTCCCGAAATGTTTTAGCAAATGTAGATGGCAAAAAATTGTTTAAGTACCTTATCAGTTTCTTTGCTTGTTTCAACAACACCACTTCTATTAACAGTCTTTGTTCTTGAAGGTACTTTCTCCATTGGGTATATACCAGTGTCATGGTGCACAGGAGGTGAGACATCATCAGATATATCTTCCTTCGAGGAAAAACAGATAACAGCGTGATGTTAGAAAATTTATCAATGAACTATCTCTAACAATCATATATATATTTTTTAATCAATACCTCATCAATGGAATCTGAAGGATCATATATGCCAAGCTTTTGCTCGATCTTTGATAATCGAGAACGGATATGTCTCTGTCCATCTATAAATATCTTCTTGAGCTGGTCAAGCTTCGCCTCTACTGACTCGTCTGAAGAAGGTAGTCTGGAGTTTTGTCTCGCTCTTTCTGAATGGGGATAGCGATATGACTGCGATGCAATGTATTGCAATGCATCGTCTCTCTTCAAAATCTTTCTTTTCCAGTGATCATGTGTCAGCCTGAAACCTTTCTCTAACAGATCCACAAGCGAATGCAGATTTTCATCGTCTTTGTCTTGCAAAAACATGGTGTCTTCGAGGTCACCATGTATTTTTGGAAGGATGTGTACGGAATCCACCTGCACAGTCAAAAAACACATGTCATTCATCTATGTTTTGTTAGGAAAGCCTTCCTAAACTAATGACATATATTCTAGATAATAAAAGTAGTAAAGGAAGACACTTACATCGCTTTCACCTTCTATGCTCAAAACAGCTTTGATGGAAGGAGATGTTGTGTGAAGATATTTCACACACAAAAAAGCTGTGGGCGGGACTGTTTTGTCAATCATAGAGAAAGCTGACTGAAGCTTGGGTACGGATTCCATAATCCATAGGTGAAGCGCAAAAGGGAACCCGTCCAGAGGGTACTTGGACTTTTCTAGACTGTTCTCCACAGTCTTCTTCACTGATTTTAACAGTATTTCGTAAGCATCTATCCCCCAATGATGATTCAGCAAGACATCCATGTGTTGCGCTTTCTGTAAATTAGATGTGGGGAACATAGCCTTCGAATACCTATGCAGAAATATTGTCTCGATGAGCAGCACCATAGCCAAAGAAAACCTCTCATCATGAGCATCTTCTCCGGCTTCCATCATAAGTTCTATCAGGTCGTCGGGTGAATGCCCATCCTCCAATCAAGACCAATCATAGTGGTTTGCCTCTGCCTCAACAGCAGGCAACCATTCGGTGCATTTCAGCCCCGTGATCATATGGAATTATCTTATAGAGAATCTCATAGGATGTCCACCAAAATGAAACCACAGCTCATTTTCTTTCTTGGTTTCCAGGTTCTTGGTCAGAATTGTGTGGATCATCTTCCCTGACATAGAGAGATTCCTCGAACAGAACTGCCAAACCGGACCCAAGAAAGAGTCCTCGATTCTCTTAAACTGCTCAGGCCCGAGTATCTCCTTCACTCTGGCTATGTACTTGAAGTCTGAGTACTTATCTATGGCCTTGAACCCACTCACTGGTTCCTTCCCCATCTTGTATTTGAGCATAGGAAGTGTGATGTCCATTTCCAACTGCTACAAGAAAAGAAACGGAAAATATCAGTGATTGTAAGAAACAAAAATCAAAAATCACACAATAAATAAATCTAATAACCCATTTTTGAGAGTTGACAAATAACACTTAGAAGGTGCTCCTAAATCTCGATCATAAAGCAAAAAAGAAGAGTCAAACATAGAACTTTTTGGAAGGCGTTTCCTAAATCCAAATCCTAAAATTACAAAGAAGAGCCATAAACCAACAATATTGTTTTTTGAAATATGAATCTTACGACAATCCTTCATAAGTTGAAATTAAAGTTTATACTACACAAATCCATAAACCAACCCCTCGATAAGTTGAAATTGAAGGTGAAACTAAAGCCTATCCTAAATCTCTCAAAAAATCGAGATGATAGAAGTTTTGGGACAGGAGTTTCTTACTGAATCTTAGTTGTCACCTTCTCTGTCGCTTTTCTCTGTCGCCGATGTCTTCTTCGTCGTAACGGTAGTTCCCGAAAGAAATTAGATTTTAGGGCTTCGTCTTCAATTCGCTTGGAAACCGAACGGTCGGGAGTGAAATGGCAAAACTGAATCGTGTTGAGTAGTTTTCTCAACTTTAAAACTGCTCAACACGTTTTTCTCTTGTCTTTATATGCATAAAAGAGGAAGTTACTTACAGTTATCCAACGAAATAATTCGGCCATAGCGGTTAAAGCTTTACTATGAAGTAGATGAGGGCATCAGTTCGATAACCACATATTCTTTTTTTTGTCTTATTTGTTTTTTTTTAATATTTAAGAAGCACTTCCGAAATAATTGGAAAGATTCCGAAAACAGTTGTAAATTTTCCTCGACGATCTTCATCTTTGATTTCAATTCATAAACATGTCAATTCACTCATAAACATTCCAATTCACTCACAAACATTTTAATTCACTCATAAACATTTTGAATTGCCGCCGTTTGTTGCACGATTTCAATTCGTGGTTATCGAACCGAAATAATTGGAAATTAGATTTTAGGTAAGTTGTACGATTTCAATCCGCCGTTTGTTGTACGATTTAAATCCGTTGTCTTCTACGGTGGCTTCGCCGCTGTTGTCTTCTACGGCGGTCGAGATCTAGAGTTCTTAGATTTCTTAGATTATTAAATAGGGGTAATATCGAAAGTTCATTTCTAAATATGTTAGAGGGCGGAAGTTTCTTAACACCGCGTTTAATTATGTCTACAAAACCTAAAAAAATGTGTATTACTGAGAATTGCCCAAAGATTATCTGTTATTCTTTCTGTTTTAAAGAAAGAAATATTTTAATGTTTTATTCTATTAAGAAGAGTAACAAAGGTCTTCTAATCATAAAGGTAATATGTTGAGGATTTATACTCGGTATAAAGGTTTCTATTGTGTGAGTGACATGATTAGTAGCTAATGAATCTATAACCCAAACTTTAAAAGATATTGCTGGTTATAGAAATATTGAAGAAACAAACATGTCATAATAGATTTTGGGTAAAATCTGTGAGATAACCGATATAAAAACTGATGTAGAAGCACAAATCATATCTTTCAAATGTAGAAGTATGAAGTTTGGAGTTAAAGTAAGAGATGATGGTTTGAATCTGATTAGTCGACATTTCTTCATAAGTAGATGTCATTTGCTCAACATTTTGGTTTGATGGAGACTGGTATTATGTCCCTACAATGATATTTCTTCCATTTAGAGCAAATCTTGTAACATAACCATGCAGCTTATCACACTTGTTAGCAGTATGACCTAGTTTGTGACAGTAAGAACATTTCGGTTTCTAGGAATCACTATTAGCCAAGAAAATCTGATTCTGATCAGGAAAACATTAAACTTGAAAAATAGTAGGATTAGTGAATGTAGTTTGTGTACCTCTTTCTACACAAACTAGGTAAATTGCTGTCAATCCTGTTTTTGGTTTCAAATTTAAAATTTGTCCTCTAATATTTGTCTAACTATCATTTAGCTCCTTAAGGATCTGAATGATTCTGTTCGTCTCAGCTTCTTCCAACAATTCTTGGACATGATCAAAATTGCACCGTTTTACTGTGGAAGCCTTGGTGTTACCCAGAGCCGAGCCGTGCCTATATGGATTTAAAAGAAACTTTGGTTTAGGACTGCAAATTGGTTTTTAAATCATAGGGCAATATTATTTTAAAAGGTTTAATAATCTATTTTTATCATTAGTTATATTGTATTAATTTCAAATATGGATATAACCTTATACATAATATATGAGTTTAGAAAAGAGAAACTAACAACAATAAGTCAAATTGTTATTATAGGAAATGACCCAAAAAAATCAAAGAATTAGAGTAAAAAAAAAACAAAAACCATATAATTACTTTCTTTATATCTTTCTACTTGCACTGATTAGTTTATTAGTACCTTTTCTATATTTCTCTAACAATAAGATAGAATTAAGATATTTGTTTTTGCTTTCTCTTCTTTTTAAGTTTTTATTATTTTTTAAAATAGTTTTCCTTCATAATTGGTAAAAAAAATTAAAATTTTGGTCAATAATTTTGGAGAAATAAGGTTTTAGAACTACAATTTAATTTATTTAGTTTCATTTTATTATTTTGCTATGTAACCATTATTTATTATTATAAGAAAAATATAAATGAGGGTATTTTTTTAAAAAAATGTTTATGGTATCGAATGAGGTTGGCACGACTCTGGTGTTACCTAGTTGCTCCGAAAGCGTCTTCTTCTTGGTGTAATATGTATACAGATCAAGACTGCCTTGAAGATGCAGTTTGTGGAGAACGTCATGCATCGATCAGAGTTCAGCTTAAGAAGGATATCATGAAATATGTAGCCGTGAAAGCTTGTAGCTGACGTGGTATGCTGACATGGCAACACAAGAGATAGACTTGAATCTGCCATGGGGGGGAGGGCACTCGAAGATATTCGGCAAAGAGGAAACTTGCTATAAGCTAGATTCGATGGAGATTCTAGGTTAGAGGTTGGGTAGTTAGTATAAATAGGAAGTTGGGCAAAGTTTGTAACACACACTTTGCACCACAACTGTTTTAGAATGTCTTTGAGCTTCAACATTGAAAAACGAAGTAAAAAAGTTAGTGTCCTCTTCTCTGATACACGAATTGTATAATCGAGTGAAGAGTGTTTTAGATCTAGAAATCCATTAGGGGCAATCTAGGTTTAGAGTTGCATAACACCAAAACAATTATAATCAGAGAGATTAAATTGTGTTGATTCTAGTTAATAAAACAAGCGTTGGACTTGGCGCCTTCCAAGTCAATTTTCTGGTTGTCATAGTTTTCTGCACTTACAACCGGTATCAGAACAGTCATCTGCTAAGGATTGTCTGTTCTTATTAATCAGGTGTTATTGTGGGAAAAAGTATGGAAAACATGCAACATCTTGGATCGGCTAAGTCTCTTATTCTCGATGCCAAGAACTATGGTTGGTGGAAGCTTTAGATCAAAGCACTAATCAAGAGATATGATGAGGATGCATGGATAATGATTGAAGAGGGATGAACAGCACCAACGGTTGTTGGAGAATATGGCGTGGTAACAGCCAAACCAAGATTAACTTGGAGAGTCGAAGAGAAATCTATGTCTAAGTTCAACTCCAAAGCACTGTCAATGATCTGCACTTCACTCACCAAGGATCAGTTCAAAAAGGTCCAGGGATAAACTACTGCAAAAGAAGCATAAGATGCACTACATACAGCGTATGAAGGCACCTCAAGCGTCAGAAGAACTCGAATGGATATGCTGGCATCCCAGTTTGAAACACTTACCATGAGATCAAAAGAAACAGTTGAAGAATTCAGCGGGAAGCTCAGTTCCATTGCAAATGAGGCTCAGTGTTGGGAACAACATACAAGGATAAGAAACTGGTTAAAAGTTTCTGCGAAGTCTACTGGAGAAGTTTCATGCTCACATATCAGCCATTGAAGTATCACACAACTCATACGAGATGAATTTCAATAAGATTGTGGGAATGATGCAGGCTTATGAGATGCAGCAATCACAGAAGAATCAATCCAAAGTAAAGAGTGCGGCTTTCTCAGCAGACCAAAGAAAGCTGCAGGAAATCAATCTTGACTATCAGGTTGGAATGATTGTCAAGAAGTACTTCAAGAAATACGAGAAAAGGCAGCGTATGACACCTTATGAATTGAGAATACTGTCTACTGATTCCAGGTATGAGAGAGGATCAAGAAAATCAGATATGCAATGCCATGAGTGCGAAGGATATGGTCACTTTAAAACAGAGTGTCCAACAGCCAAGAAGAGGGAGACTCTTCAATGTCAAATATGCAGTGGTTTTGGCTATGTCACTGAGTGTGTTAGTCAAGGCATAAGAAGGGAAAAGTCATTTATTAGTAAGAAATAGTCTCATCGGATGAGGATGAAACTGATGAGGAACCGTTACTAAACTTTGTCACCTTTCTTGGAGTGATTGATGAGGATGCGGATTCTGAGGGAGAAACCGACAAGGATGAGGAGTACCAAGATGATGAGATTTTGTTGGAAGAAAACAGAACTTTGTGTCTAGCAATGGTGAGTGCAAAGCAAGAAAAAGAAAATCTTCTACAACAGATTGCTGACAGGGATGAAAAAATTACTAAGCTAGAAGATAATATTGAGACTGACACAAAGTAATCAAGGAAAAGGATGACACAATCTGTGCCCTACAATGTGAAGTCGAGATTGCTGAGAATCAACTTTCAGAGCAAACAAAGTACTCAGACTTTCTGAAAATGTTGATCTCGGAAGACAAGAAAAGAATCGTGAGCTTAATGGTCTTCTGACGGAACAGCTGAAAAATAGCAAGATGCCTATCTAAAAGAACCAAGGATCTAGACAAGTTATTGAGTATTGTCCAGTCGAGTAAGAGTGGTTTGGGACTCAGATATGCTGGAAAAATATCAGATCAAGCTATGAAGTTTGTTCAAGTATCAGAGACGTCACAGCAACATCATCAATAGATTCATTAAGATATGGCTCAGAGAAAAAGTAAAAAGGTGGTTGA